CCCCAGTTAAAGGATACAAATATTTGTACCTCAACGGATTTGAGAAAAGGCAGAGGAGCGCTAGGTCCATGTATACTTTGTATCTTGAGAATCCATTTCAAATAAGTTTTCTCTGCATCGCAAACGAACAACTGCTATGAGACAAACAGTAATATAAACTATTTTTCTTCATTACTATCCTATGGAAGAAGGGAAGTTGGTGTGTTTATAAATGGATTACACGATGACAATACAGCCAATTTGAGGATCAACTTTAGCTAAAAATGTACAATAAACTAATAAATTGCAAAATTATCTAAATAGCTACATGCTATGAGACAAACAGTAATATAAACTATTTTTCTTTATTACTATCCTATGGAAGAAGGGAAGTTGGTGTGTTTATAAATGGATTACACGATGACAATACAGCCAATTTGAAGATCAACTTTAGCTAAAAATGTACAATAAACTAATAAATTGCAAAATTATCTAAATAGCTACATGCGCAGGGACAATAAGTGCTAACATACTTGCGTGATGATAGTTCCTCAACGTCTATTTAGCATCGCTTATGGAATGTACTCCCTCTTAAAACATTAGCAATCGTTTTTCATAGAAGTCATGGCGCTCATAGCTTTGAATACAGTACATGACAATTGCATGAGTACATCACAGATCTATGCCATTACCTTGTGCCAATTTATGTTGAACGATTGATTTTACTAGAACACCACATACCTATTACTACAAGTTTAGCCAAGTTAAATAGGGAGCTAAGTTGCATGGAAACGGGTACGGGTACTGGTACGGGTAGGGTACACGACAAAACTGTAAAATGTTGGGTACGGGGACACGACTACATATATATATATATATATATATACTAGACATCTAAACGACCCATTAACTATATAGTTTTGAACTTGGGTATGGACTGAAACGAACCGACTCATATCCCATTAGTTTCAAAAGACGGATGTGAAGTGTAAGCTCTACGTCCAGGAAGTCTTTGACAAGTGTTTTAAATTAACACATATATCATCTAATTGAGTACATGTTGTAATAAATGCATGCATATATTCAAGAAGTGTCCATGAAGTTTGGGTACGGGAAAGTGTCGGGCACGTGTCCGGTACGGGTACGGCTTCAATAATGAAATACCCGGGTAACATAGATAGGGAGCTAATCAAAAGCTAGGCTTAGTCATGTTGGTGATTCCAAAATTAAAATCTCTTCTTTTTTTCAATCATAGTTTGATTTCGGAGATAGTCAGATTCTTTCTTGGTGCACTACTATATATTTTAACTAAATGAACAGTTTCAGATGGAAGATAATGCAGCAGCAAATAAATTGCTCCCTATGAATCTATTTATTGATTGACGTCAGCACACAGGTGCAAATTTCCTTATGCTGCTTATGGGACCATTAATGCCAGTGCACAAATATATACAGCTGGAAAAAAATGAAGTAGAAATCAGATGAAAGCAGTTAATCTTACTTTTTGGTGAGTGTGAAAAACTGATCTGGACAAAATCAACACGGATATATGGAGGAATCCGGAGATTAAGGAAGTGCATAACTCCTGCAATGACCTATTTTGGTTCCACTCAATTGTTAAACCAGTAAAAAAACAAAATGAAGCAAACTCAACACAAATTAAAAGCAAGGCAGAAAATCATGATTATATTTAAACAATAGGGGTAAGACCGGAAAACACAAAATTGGAAAACAAAAGCATTGGAAATTGTTGTAGATATCCCTGACAGAAGAATGCGTACAGGTCAAATTCAAATCCTTTTCAAATAAGTGATAGCAGAAGCCCTTCTTGTTGCCATGAAAATGATTTTAAGCCATGGCTTATTAAGAATTACATATAGTATATGAACGGAGAATGAATAAGGTGGTAATTTTATATTGTAAACAAACACGATGCACAATAGCTAAGTAAAGATCTTTGTACGGGAAATTAGAAAAAAGTAAAACTTACACTCATTTGATTAGGGAGAAAGAAGCAACCTAACCAAGTGTAGGCAAAGGGTACTACCTACTTTACAGTTTACTTGACACAGAGTAGTACATCACTATGACACCTGAACTTTGAACAAGTGGCCGCAATCATCAGCAAGTTTGCATAAACGTGATTATCTCTTCGCTTCTGATTGCAACTGAAATGATCTAGGATGCCTGCACTAAGTGGACTTCCATACTCCAGGGTAAATACGTGCTGACCTCATCTTAAAATCCATGTGCAGATGTATATCACCACAGTTGCCTTTAAGTAACATAGTTAATATTTTTCTAATATTAAGTGAAGCCACGTTGAAGACATACATGATAAATTTGGCTATTTTAATCAACAAGAAGGCTACCTTATCAACTCGCCCGTGAATCACCAAGCTTGCTTTCTTGTCTTTGGGAGTTTTCTGTTAAAAAAAGAAAAAGTTTCAGGATCCAGCATAAAAGAAGTCTACACATTAAGATATGTTATGCTTTTAATATGCAACTGATATACAACAGAAAATTACAATATGCGATGTGTTAGCATATATTATTTTCTCTGTTAATTCAGATGTGTAATCTCTGAGAAAAGAATAATCTATTAGGAGGAATTATAGAAACAGTCCCAAACAATGATAACCATCAGCAGAATCATTGTGGAGGACAGATATTATTATGCCAGGCTAGTAATATAGTCCCTGGAAAAAAATCACCATCTAAATAAAAAGCTAATATTCAACCGAGGAACCATATACTTCAGTGTTTAGGTAGCCAACAAAGAAAACTTAGATCCATACATAACTCAAGAGTGAGCACAAGCAACCAGCATTACACAAATTGGAACTCAACATCAAAAAGAAAGGGAAAAGAATCACAAGCTTTAAAGGGTTTTAAGAGTTTTAAAAATGTGGAAATATATGCACAAGAAAATCACTGATGATGAAAGGATAGAAATCAACTTAGAACGAGAAAGTACTAGGAAGTTTAAGAATGTTTGAGTACACATACATCCAATCAAATGTTATCCAATGGTTGGCAAACAACTTTACTCAAATGTGACAAAAATGTTCACACATCACCAAATGGGAAATAAATTTTAGACCAGTTATAAGAAAGCACAATACTGCAAAAATAAACTTAATCTCTCCATGTAATTTATGAGGTACCTAGCAAGAGCAGTTTGTTTGAAATGTTGAATTATATATTATGATATAACAGGAAACTTTAGAGGGCAGCAATTAACTAAAAAGTTGCCCGAATTAACATCCCATCAGCTTTATATCTTATCGATTAAGCAATCAGCACATCACAGGATCCATAGAAGCATACTTCTAAAACAAAGGCCCAAAAACCATTACATTGTACATATAGGTGTGATGGAGAAGAAAAAAAAACCTGAAGATTGACAATAACAATTTTTCCACCACCACGGATTGCTTTAAGAGGCAAGTTGCAAGCAGGAGTTATCTGCAAACTGCATGGAGAAGGGTGAGTAAGCAGCCCTTGCTTCATTAAGAAGCATAAAAAAGACATTTATCATACCAACAAAGACTGCTTATGACTGCAGGCGAAGCTTGTAAGTCACAAAATAAATAAAAGGAAGTTACATCAGTTGATCATATGCATACGATGAGAACAGAATAGGAGTTCCTCTTAATTTTGGTAAAGATATTTGTTACATGAAACAGAAAGTTATCCCTCAATAAACAGAAAGTTTATTCCTCACAAACTATAAGTCATCTCAGGCTAGCATGGTAATATACATGATCTTCTTTTAGTAGTTGTTTGCGTTGGGAATAAATTTTATTGCAGAATCCATTACAAACGTTTATCGATTACAATGGAAACAAAAGAGTGAGCTTTGTGCTTTATAAAACTTCTTTTTACAATAAAACAAGATTAAGAATGCTCCCTAGAAACACACGCAGAAACGTTTATTGTTTGTTGCTTGTGTGGGATCTTTCCATGTGCCGGAGGTGCGTTAGCCCATGGACGACCGAATCACGGATCAAGTTAAATCGCAAAGAAGGCTTTGGAGTTGGCGTTTCGTTTTAGAAACAAGGACAGAAATGGATATCTCAACCAGGTGAGACAAAACACTCTTCTCAATATCAAGTCAAAGTTTAGATCTCGAGGAAACACCGAAGGCTCTTGAGGATGCTTGAAAACAATGAAGACTCTCTCTTGCTCAAAGTTCGCCAAAAGCTCAAGTCTCTGCCTAGAATTTGCTTGGTCCTCGTGCATATGGATGCTAGAGAAGTATTTATCTATGAAGCACGGACACGCATAACATGAAGCTGTGTCGTGTCGTGTCGTGTCCGTGTCGGACACACGTGTCGAACACACATATCCTATGTATTTTTTAGGATTTGCCTCGTGTCGGCGTATCGGATGGCCGTGTCGGATCCGTGTCCGTGCTACATAGGTATTTATAACATTTAGGAGCCGTTACTGAAGATAGAAAGTCGAAACCAATGCTAACTGACAACTCATGTTTCCGAGACAGTGTCCACTGTCTCGGAAGAAGGGGTTGCTCCAGCCCGTTTTGTAATCGACATCCCCTTTAAATGTCACGATTTCTGCAGTTATAGGCAGATTTTCAGTTTGTAACTGTTTCCTCACGTTTATGGATAATACCCAGCAGTTACGAAGCCACATGGGTCGCACAAATCTCGAGAAAACCGTCACAAAACGACGTGACCCTGTCACATAGTTTTCGAGACAGTTTCCGTGTCTCGAAAACTATTTATTGTCTCATAGTTTCCGAGACAAATTCCTTGTCTCGGAAACTATGTGCTATCTCATAGTTTCCTAGACAAATTCTTTATCTCGAAAATTGTGTGATGCCCTCTTGTTTTAGTCGTTTTGCATTTTTATGCATTCATTAGTTAGTCTTCGGCATTGGATGATTTTCTTTGACTATGATGATGACTTTTATCATCTTTCTTCATTTCGAGCTGTGTGCGATAATTTATAGGTAATTTTTGACGCCTACAGGTACCCCCTCCAAAGTGTTTCAGCCTCATTTTTTTATAGAGGATGCTGGAATACTTTATATATGATACACTCAGCCTTCAATTCGTTAACTTATTCAGCTTTCAGTCTATCCAGTATTTTGTCAAATAGCCGAAATTCTCCCGATACTACGTTTATCGTTTGACCGTTGTCGAAATCTTGAATCAAAGCTGGTATGTTGATTTTTGAATTAGCTCGTATCGTTGAATCGATATTGAACTGATCATCTTCGTCATGGGTCCGTATCTGAATTACCATTAAACTCCCCAGAATAATTCTTTGACCTAAAGATTATCCTGAGCCTATTTTGGCGAACTTGTTGACGCGTTGACCAACGTTGACCTTTGTTACGGTGCGAATACAGTTTATACTCATACATTAACTGAAGTCTACACAGTTTAAAATCTCCGGTGTTTTTTCGTCACTTCTGCTCGCCTCCCCAAGTTCAAAAATCTCCTCTAAAACCATACTAAAGAGTTCTCAAACCCTTCTCTCCTCTTTAGCCTTCAATTTTGGTTGATCTTGTTTGAGAAAACTAGGGTTTCGAAGCTTCTCCTCAAGGTTTGATCTTCTACTCGTATTTCCTCCACAAATTCTTGTTTTCTCCTTGTCCTAGATGAAATCCGAACTCATAGTTCGAGTCTTGGGTTATTTTAATCCTTTGTTTTGAAATTTCACCCAAAACCCTAACTTTTTCTTGATTTTTAGGTCAAAATCATCTCTTTTCATCATGTCTCCCAAGAGATCGCACGTTTCCTGAGGTAGATCGACCACTCAGGCCTCTGAGAGGGAGGATCCCACCGTTTTTTCATATGGATGTTAGTTTTCTAAACTTTTATCAATTCAAAAGTTAAAATTTTGTGCGTATGTCCTCATTCGCCTTCCTTTGCGAGGTATTCGGGAAGAGCCGATATCCTTCTTTGCGGGGATCAACGCTAAAAGATGTGTTTTGTTTAGTCAAAACTTGCTTAGTTAAAACACGTCTCAAGGCAAAAGAGACGATTTTACGCTGTCTTGCATTTTGTAAGGCGGGTATATTGTCGTATTGTTTACACGACAATGTACGGTGCCTCTCACGTGCGAAACAACTAAAATCATCTCGACAATCACAAGGTATGACTCTATCTCTTGGATTCACGGGATGAGTTTGACTCTTTGTTTTGCCTTAAGATATATTTTGAACTGCATTCCGACAGATATATTTTTCTTTTTCAGTCAATTTCCCATCCATGGTCTTCTCTGATAGAGAAGTGATCGGTCAAAGTGGCATTGTCTATGCTTCTTTTGACGGGAGTCCTCTTATTAGAGAGGCTCCTTAATTTAATATTGATTGTCCGGAGGACGTTCCCGAGCTCCGTCGTGTTTTACGTCAGTTGATTACTAACAATCCATTGGTCAAGTATCAGGATTCGGCTGGATATTTGAGGAAGCCCCAGTATCTGTTTGGAGACTCTGTAGAAAATCCTGAGAAGCTTTCATGTGAGTCGGAGCAGTGGTTGAACGAGCACGATGGAGTATTTAGATATATGCCTCCTATTCCTCAGCATTATTCTCTTCTATAACTCAGGAATTTGACGGTGACCCGAGAGATGTCTTGGCGGCTAACAGAAGACCACGAACGTATTCATTGCGGATTCATTGGTAAGGACGTCAAAACTCCGGGTTCAAGTGACAGGAATTCTGTCTGTGGGCTTCATCCCAGGATATTGGGTCAGGACAATTTGCTACAAAATAAGTTGATGTTAAAGACAAATACTATGAAGAACCACTTAGTTCGTTTGGGAAGGGAGTTGTCAGTTAAGAAGTATCGGTGCTATGGTTGGGTCTATTATTCTGCTGACAGATGATGGACAAGACTGACGAGCTATGTGCTTAGTCGTTGGAGAAATGAGTTAGCAAGTAACGGATTGTACGTCCCCATCCAAGCTAGCATGTATGGCATCCCGATCAGTGTAGATCACTTCTTTGCTTTGTTTAAGATTTACAATTCGGACACAAATACTTTTGTGACCAAGAATGGAGACTTAGGTCTTCCTCTCCACGAGATGATGAAAGCATTCGGGTTACCAATGGGGGATATACCTTATCAAGAGTATTTTCCGACCGTTTATCAGTTGAATCGGATGAAGGAGACGGCCTCTGTCGCGCATGACATTTTCTGGGAGTTGACTTGTCATTATCAGACGGTCATGGCTGATGTAAACATTAAGGCGGAAAAAAAATTCCACAAGTCAGCTTGAAACAGTTTGCGGATTACCTCTTCAAGCATCTTGAGGACCGCTCCGGAAAGGAGGTGTGTGAATTAACACCTTTGACACCATCAGAAATTAATAGGCTGTTGCTGAAGACCAACGCCCAATCATATACGACCCGTTCGAACGAAGAAAATTTTTCGAAGGGTACGAAGTTCCAGTCCTTTTTGTGGTGTGCTCAAAAGAAGATTACGCTGACAACTCTTCTGGTAAGGTACTTAGCCATTTTACTAAAGAAATGTGTAGTACCTCATCAACCTTCTGATGCACTGGCTATCAAAGTCTTGTATCCTGCTGTTCAGCTGGCAATTGGGCTCTGACTCTCCCTACTCCTAGCTATGATCGCCGATATTCATAGTGTACTTCGCCATCTGGCTACCACTTTCACACAGGAGGGGAAGAAACCTTCAAGTGAGATCCCAACAACCAAGATAGAGCTGCCTTATACTTACTTGATGGCGTGGTTGGTCCTCCACAGGCCATATTTGATGACAACACCCGATACTGCTGATCCGGGTCTCCCTATGATGCAGATCTTAGAGGAATGTAAATGGACGGTCATGCAGTGGTATGAGGTCTCAAGGCAATTCCAGGTTCACAAGTGTTGGGAATTTTTCAAATGTTTCCCTCAATTTTCCGGAAGTTATAATGATATGCTCGTAGATGAGGAAGAGCCAAGGAAAAATAGAACTATCTTAGATGTAGGATGTTTTCGCTGACTAATGAACATTCGCCCCAGCTACCTTATCTTCCGAGTGAAGAATGTTTGTAGCATCGAGCCCTATCTCCCCTGTAGATTCGCTCGTCAGTTTGGATATGACCAACTGTACGTTGGGAACCCAAACAAAATATTAAAGACTTGTGGTGGTCTTATTGACAGTGTACGGGCTTGGTTTTGGGGTATAAGTGGTTGCACAAATGCCCAGTTTAGCCTTCCAGCCGTCAAACCTCATCTACAGATGACATTCTTGTATTACAAATGGCTCATTGCTGCTAACACGCCCACAAAAAAGAAGAAAATCTCGGAACTAGAGGCGATAACAACATCCAGACTTACCACTGAAATAGTTCGAGAAACTATTCTTTCTGGGAAAGGAAAAGCACCTATTGAATCCTCCAGCAAAGGGAAACAAGTCGCTGATACTGATGAAAGCGAGGAGGAATCCTTCGAAGACATAGCGTGGACATCTAAGGAAGAAGATGGGGC